ATAAAAAATCCTTACATATAGTTTTTTATAAGTGTGCTCAACTATGTTTGTGTTTATACTGATGTGTAACACCCCAAAGTTTGGTTCAAGAAATTTATCCACTAAATCAAAATATCTGTAAAAATGAGAAATTTGGAATTAGTGTATTTTATAATAAAAATCATGTGACATCAGTTAAATTTAAAAAAAATAATGTAATAATTAACAAACAAATTTTACAATATATATATAAAAAATGTAAATAATAAAATAATAATATATATAAACAACAAAAAAAATTTTTTTTTATTTTATTCTAGCATATATTATTCTTCAATCCTTGTTTGTACTCTTTTGTAAGAAGTTTCCTTTAATTTATTGACATTTCTAATTACTTGGAATCAATTTCCAAATTTTTTTGTTGTACATATTTGAGTGCAGTTTCCAAACCTTTTATAGCTTCTGTGCTTGTTTTTTTTTTTTAAATTGATAAAAATATTTTTTTTTTGATTATAGACAAGGGTGGATATTTTTATTTTCATGAACCATTATACAAGCCATAAATTTTAATTTTACAAATCATAAGTTTTATTTTACATTTAATTATTTTTAATTATAATAATAAGCTATTGTTTCTATTTTTTTCATAATGTTTTTAAATTTTCAAAACAGTAATGATCATCATTATCCATTATATCAAAATAAATTTGTTAAAAAAATATCTGTATACTGAATATATTAATATATAAAAATCTGCTAAATCTGTTAAATCAAAATAAAATAACTATAAAAAAATTCTGTTCCAAAATTTTATCCATTAAACCCTTAAATCCACTAAATTGAAATCTGCTAAATCGAGTTTCACTGTGTATACAATGGGAGACAGCAAAAGCTATCAACTATTATTGGCTTACCAAAAATGGCATCTACTCCTCAGGGGTGATCAATTTTAAAAAAATAATTACATCAAATGATTATTTAGAAGTCAGGGAATAATTTGTTGCAGTCAGATTTTTTATTTTAAACTTAATAGCAAAAATTATAAGGGTTTAAAATTTCACTATTTTGTAGTATTTTACAAAATTTGCCACTGTTTGAAATGCCAAATCACACAAAAAAAAAATAAAATCACTTCTTTCAAACTTACAAAAAGCTAATGAAGTCTGTCATTGATTCAAACTGCAATCAGCAAATCTTTGGATTAAAGCTTATCTAGATAATACAAAAACATTAAATTTATATGCATAATTATAAGAACCTGAGCTATCAAATAATATATATAAATTTCATATAGTTATTATAAAGGTTTTGTGGAATTTTCAAAAAACTGCATTTGAATACTTCCTTCATATATTAATGTGATTTATTATGATAATTTTCTTAATTTTATTGACTAAAGTTTGTACACGTGATAAATTTTAAACTCAAATTTTGCTGCCCCTATTGTATCACTTTGATTAAAGACTAGTGCCGTAATCCAAAAAAGGAAAAAGTATGGTTGCAAAAGTGGTCGCAAAGGTAATTGCAACCACTTTTTATATGCCATAAATACAATTACTACCATCATCATAATTTATGGCACTTGTCTTTAACTTTGATGGCTTTTGCTGTTGCCCACTGTGTATAGAAAGATGGTCATTGATCGTGATGTAATATTTAGTGCATCACATGACTTCTGTAATAAGCTCGTTCTAATTAACCAGGTAATTGATAGGTCCAAGTTTTACAATCTCACAATATATATATATATATTTATTCCAATATAATGAATTAATTATCTTACATTTTTCTAATCAACTCATGAGTTGAGAATATTTCTTCTCTTTGATCTGTTGATAATATAATAAATCAATATTAAAGCTTTCATTCACATAATTTGACTCAACAAGCTTCTATAATTGTGCAGGGAAAGTTGGACATATTGAAACCACACTAAATTCTCTTCAAATTTAGCATTCCTCAAGTTAAAATCAAATTGATTTAAATGCTCTTTGCAATTTGTCACCACTTGATACAAAACGAAGCTCATGCTATCCCAACTAAGGTTGTGAGCAAACCTCCTTAGTAATTGCTGAAATCATGGCAAAACTATATTAAATCTTACCAAAAATCCTGTTGAAACTATGCCAAAATGGCAAAACCTCAAAATGCAAAATTCTGCCAAAACTCTAATAAACAATTAATGTGTAACCTGCTGAAACCCTGCTGATTGATTTCTGGAGGAGTTTCAGCAAGCAACCTTAATCCCAACCCCCTATAATATTTATTGATATACTGCAGGATTATGGCATCCCAAATATACAAAGTGAATTTTGGGGCAGCCTGTCACACCCATCACGGCATTCTGCCTCCAAACCAATAAGTACAGATTTCCTTTGTTATATACTAGATGCTAATTGGTTAGGAAAGTGGGGGCAGGAGGACTGATCTACATTTTGGATATACAGAGTAATTTGGGCAGCACCTATAATCTGCATGTTTTCAAAAAAGATATTCTTGATCAAATTTTGTTGTCAACATTTACATGTGTTGGAATATATGATAAAGATACTAAAAAATCCACACATAATGATTTGTTATATTGATGTAGCATATGTTTGATGATCAACAACCACAATGAATTAAGTATGTTGGAATAGGTAAGGCCCTCCTATAACCTTACAGCAAGATACCAAATTTTGCTTACTACAGAATTATGTGCCTGTGTCCTCAAGTGGTGACAAACTTGTGATCCAGTTGTCAAGTCATGGTACTATGCACCTGTTCTCAGCACATGTGCCTTAGTGCCTTGTGTACAGCCAACTAAGGTTGTGGGCGAAACCTCTTAATGACTGTTGAAACTCTGTTGAAACTCTAATGAACAATTAATGTGTAACCTGTCAAAAGTATGATGATTGGCAAAAACCCCAAATGCGAAACTCTGCCGAAACTCTAATAAACAATTAATGTGTAACCTGCTGAAATCTGTCGATTGATTTCTGGAGGAGTTTCTCCCACAACCTTACAGCCAACTTTAAAAACTCGCCACATACAAAAGTGGCTAACCAGTGATGCTATACATCCCATTGGCACTCCATGCCTGCCAAAACTAGGGAGTTTCAGCAGAATGACATATGCAAAACTGCAAAAACTATGGATGAATTTTGGTATAACTGCTAGTAAAATTTTAATATAGTTTCGCCATAGTTTAATCTAGAGTTTGGAAATCAACTATTTTAGTTGCATTATGAATAATTCAAATAAGAATTTGTATTACTATTACTATTACAAATGGAAATTCTAAGCATACAAATTTTTTTTTGGTACATCTATGAATATGTAATGATCAGACCTATAACTGAGCTGTATCTAACATTGCATTATGTATGAAATGGATAAAGTTCAATCATGACCTTCATTCTGATTTCGGTAAGAATGGACCATTGTTACCATGGTATAAAAATTATAGACTATTTATGTATTTAGAAGCAAGATCCTTCCAGCATCTCTACTTCACAACACATTCGCTAAAACCAAGTTACATGTTATTATAATTTTTTTGTGAAGTTATTTTTTTTTTTTTTTTGTTCAGTGAGGTCTGATTAGTTTATTTATGTTAATGATTTTCAATATACATGATTATATATATCTATACATTTATATTAGAACAAAATAAAACTAACTCGATCTAACTTACGAACCCGTATTTTAAACCGCGACCTACCACCACATGTATAATATACATGGGGGTGGTCCAGACCTAATGTCCCAGGAAAACCCCACAACTACCCTCCATACTCATCCCCTTTTCTATATAATTTTTTATTATACTACTACTTAATTTGTTGATATTATCTACACTTTGATTACTAGTATTATCAACATTATTTTTATTATTACTATTATTGATATTTTTACAATCATCAATACCACCACTAGTACCTGTGTTATTAATTATTTTTGTTTTATACTTCATATTTTTTTTATTCCAAATCAAATAACATAATAAATCCATACACTTGTTTCTTGACCACCATACCACCAGCTACTAAACCAGCCACCGTCTGATGGTTGACTCACGGTTTGTTTTTCTTGTCTTTCTTTTTTAATTTTATCTACATTTTACATTTTTAAAAAAAATTTTACAATAAAGTTGTAAAATATGATTGTCTAATATAACAATTAAAGTTATATCCCAAGTAGAGTATTTGACACAAAACCTATTAATGCCCTTTCTTTTTTCAATTGAGATTTGGCAATTGATCGATAAAACCTTATGTCTTCATAACTAAGCTTTATTTCAAGTTGCTTCAATTTTTCAGCATCCTAAACAAAGTAAATATAAAATAATAAATTACACACTTTGAATAAATCAACCAATAAAATTCTTAAATATTAAAAGGCAGTTACCGCAGGCGTTAAATGATCAAGTCGTTTATCTTTATAAAGTTTAACATATGCACAACGGTCATCACGTCTTTCAGCAAAATATTCCCAAGTCAATTTTCGATTACGTTCACGAATCTCAGAAAGTATACAATTTCCTGCAAATTGAAGCCATGCTCTTGGATTTTGTTTTGGTGTCACTTCTTTTGGAGGTCTGAATTTTCGATACTATGATAAAATTATTTATTACTTTGATTAGAAAATTTATCATGTAGATAAATATAAAATAAATTATATTTTTTATATTATACCTTTTGTTGTCTAAGATAAAAATGAAATAAGTCAACCATTAATAAGGCGTCCCTGTATTGTTCATCATCCAAGACAAATCCAAGTTCATCAAATAATAACGTTACAATAGTTTTAGGAGTCTTAACATCAAAATGTTTGTTCAATATAACCTACGCATAATTTTATAGTTTTAAGGTTTAATTGAATAATTAATTATTAAAGGGCGTTTTAGTTTTTTGAGGGTGAGAAAAACTTACTCTTCCAGTTCCTGATACAGGTTTTAAAATATATTGGTGTTCTTGTGGAACTCTCTTGTCTGATGAAATCTTATAATATAAAGTTAATTACAAGTATTAGAAATTACATGATAATATAATATAAAAATTTCTTTTAAAAAGTAACAATACCAAATTTATGAATAATTCAATAGAATCCTTCTGAGAGTAACCAGATAAAGATCTTGAATCTGTGTTCCAATATGCAGCTAACGATCCTAATGTAATTAACTTTTAAAGGAATTTTTAATTAATAAAAAATATGTATGTATTATATATATAAATTATTCTCTCAAAACAATTACTTTATGAATTGGTTTAGTTTCATCTTCAATAAAAGTAGGTGTCCAATTTTCATCTGTTGAAAGAGCTGAAAATTCGGACAATGTAAGTCCTATTGAAAATGGATGCTGCAAAATTATTTAAGAATTAAGTATTTTTCTAATAAACAATTTTTAAGAAATTAGTATTAAAAATTCAATGCAAACAAACCTCAGGATCACTTAATTTATCTTCATATCTAATATGAATATTATTAATAGAAATTTGTAGATTGTCTACAATCTTGGTAACAAGTTGATTTACAAAAGATTGGTTTTTTTGATCATCCTCTTTTAAAAAAATTAATAATAAAAAAATTAATAATAAAACTTTAATAATCTAATAATATAATAATAATAATAAACCTTCAGATGTTCCAGATGGATTAGACTGAAGTAATTCAGCATTTGCTAATTTTTCTTGTTTGACTTGTTGAGCTTTTTTTTGTTCTTCTTCAGGATCATACTAATAAACCAATAAATTTTTTTTTAATTAAACAAATTTGAAACTTCAAAAACACACAATTTAAAGATTGCTACCTCTGTATCAGCTTTTGGATTAGCTAAAAGATAAACATTATTTATAAAAACTTTAACTGGCTTATTTTTTAAATTTGACCAAGGAATATTCAAGGTTAATTCCCCAAGATATCCTGAAGAAAAAAAATTATATAATTATATATAAGTTACATTAGTCTTATCTATGATGACTCTATAATCAAAAATAGTTTAATAAATGCCTTCTAAAATTTCAATAGGTAAATCAAATTTATCAAGTGCTTCTTTTTTGAGTTGTAGGTTTCTTAACACGACATCCCCTTTTATTAGCACAATTTATATATATGCATGTATGTATGTATGTATGAATACACTATTGTGAGAAATTGAACAAATTTTAGAGGAAAAAAGAGACTTAACAACATCAACAAAAAAAAACCTGTCCATATTGCAATGTTTAGTTGATTATCTTCGAGATTAGAAACATATGCACCAAGAACGCGATTCAAAACATTAGCAACTAACGATTCAAGCATTGTTTGAATGCAAAAAAAAAATTAATTAAATAAAGTAATAATATACAAAACAGAATTCAATTTATATTTAATAGATATTTATATATAAATTTTTTTGATATGACATCATAAAGAGAAGGAGATATATAATAATTAATAATAACAAGTTTTTTGGGGCGTTTGTAAAACATGATCATGAGATTATCAAAGGCTGACCAAACATTACATTATCCATCATCTGTCGTGTATGGGGACGTGCTGCAATTAGTATTAGGGATGGAAAAACGGTTCAGGACCAGTACCAGTTGGCACTGACCAATAAAGATCAAGAATCTTTATCATGTGAGTTAATTCCTTATCAACTAATTTAGTATTAGTGATGGATTTACCAGATTTACCTTTTCTAGTTTGCTTGTCTACTTGGTATTCTTGGGATGTTGACTATAATACTAATGCATGAAGTCGAAAATTTTCGACCTGGGGGGTCAGAAGTCGAATTAAAGTCGAAATGGTTGAAATTACAGGCTGAACATACAGAAATTAACCAAAAGCTTCAAAATCTCATAAATCGGTCAATATCAGCTGTTTTGAATAAAACAGCTACTATTCGAATTCTCTCAATGAGCTTAGTATTAGTCCAATGAGATGTAGTTCATTGACGATCCGTTTATAAATCAGGTGAGTACTATATAGTGATCGGCGGGGGAAAATTGACGAAAAAAAACACTAATCAGTAAGTAACCTATACTTTTGTCTTGTAAGATAAAATTTTTTTGTGTATACAAATAAAATAAATCTCAGAGAACACATTATCTATCTTTTATTGCCTTTAATTATTTAAAAAAAATTTTTTTCTCTTTATGATGTGTTGATTTTTGAAGTCTTGTTGAAAAAATTTGAAAAAATAAAAAAATGTTTTTGCCGAGTCTTGAATGATGATAATAATAATAATTTATGCTAAAGGGCATGCTAAAGTATGATAATAATTTCCATGAATATGCATTTATGTTTTACTTTCGAAGTTATTGTTCATTTTAGAATTAATTTTAAGTACAAATTCATTAAACAATTCTCTATCTAGGTCTTCCTTTATTCCAGGAACTCTTTGCGGTATAGTCTCTTGTTCTAATTTAAGATTCCTTAAAATTAATCTGGACCTTCCTTCAAGAAAAAAAATTTCAAGTCCTCTCTTTTAAATAGAAATGATGAATGTTAGAATCATTGGACCGATTTTTGTCACGTGTAACTTATTGCAAATCATTTATATATAAGGGTAGGTGGAATCACGTGTTAATTTAATAGTAAATCCGGGCTCAATTTTTTCAAAAATTCGAGTTTTCCTACTTCAATGGGAAAAATGATCTTAAACCTGACAAAAAAGAAATAAAATTGAAACACATACTCAAGGGGTTGGTCCCAAGAAGCCTGAGTAAAGCCATTGAAGGATTGAACATAAACAGTCATAACAGTAAGAAAATAGCTAGAAGGTTAGTCCGAAAAATAATATCAGTAACCAGAGAAAAAATTTGGATAGAGAGATGCAATGAGGTGATAAAGTGGG